CCAGAAAACCCGCCGTTACCCGAGCTGCCGCCGTCCCCCGCTCGCCCTTCTGCTCCTTTTACCTCGAAAACGCTCTCGGGCAGGTTCTCGTGAGCGCAAAACCTCGCGCTTTCCAGTGCCGCTCCCCGAGCGAGGCCGAAATGCCGGAAAGCGCTTCCCCTCGCCCCTCAGAAGCGCGGCGCGTGAGCAGACCCCAGCCCCAGCTTCACCCACGGTCTGTACTCCGACGGTCCCAGCAGCAGCTCTGCTTGCGCTTACCTGCGAAAAGGAGCCACGAAAGCTTGTGGCAGCGATTCGGTTTGCTGAACAGCAGTACTCCAACCTTCCAGGTGCCATCTCTTCCTTGCAAAGACAACTGGAGATCCAAGAATCCCAGCTTCGGTCAGCCAAAGCTGAAAAGGAAATGCTCCAGAAGAAGCTCAGAGAGCAAGAAAGTCAGCTACAAGCCATGTCTACCAAGGTACGGCCCCAAGAGCACGGCTGTCATTGTTTTTAGGAGAGCTGGTGGTGGGGAACTGGGGCTTTAGGCAACAGCTGTGAACTGCAAAACTGAAGTGTAAAATACTTTCTCTGAAGTTTTCCAGCCTGAGAGAAGAAGGGAAGCACGAAGAAATGATGGCGACAATAGAGGAGGAGAACTGCAGACTTCGACAGGTAAATTCGGTGCCAAGCTGCTATAGAAAACTCTCGTATTAGCTGCTTAGTTGTGCTTCTTTTAGGCTTAGGGGACTTTGCCACATGAAAAAAACCACTCAATCCAGTAGTTAATCCAGTAGTTTTACAGAAAACACCAAGTAATAATGGTTACCAGTCCTGGCAAGGTCATTAAGTCTGTAGAATCTGCTCAGAAAACACAAGAAGCATTTGGACCAGATACTGGGAAGATGCAGCCAAGCCTGCTCACTTTCTTCCTCACCATAACAGCTTGATTTATGTATCTCCTCAGGTTGTTGCAGAACAAGAATCCAAACTGGCTGAGCAGAACAACCTGATCAGTGAGTTACAGGGGACAGTCAGCCAGCTACAGGCAGAGGTTCTGAGCAGCCAAAACCACATCCACAAGCAGCAACGGGCCCAAGAGGCGATCCAGAGCCAAGCTGAGACACTGCAGCACAGAGAGCTGCAAACCAGAGTGGCACTCGAATGCATCACCAGCAGGGTAAGAGTAGCCTCCTTCACTTCAGAATCTTACCTCCTCCCTCCTGGGAGACGCTCCAACCATTTCAAGCAGAGAATCTGAAAGCTGAGAGACATTTCTTGGGCAGAAGCACAGCGGGAGATTCACCGGGGTGCTGCAGTCCTTTGCTCTCGGGGCCCGGCTTCCCTTTGCAGCCACAGGGCCAGAGAGCAGGGAACTTGGGCCCTTTGCTTCCCAGCTTTTTAGCATGCAGTTCTGACAAAGTGAACAGGCCTCAAATACCAGAAGCCCTTGAGAAACTTGAGTTCCCAACAGTTATGTCACCAGATTTCTAACAGCCCTCCCAATGCAAAGTAACAGACATCATTTTCATGATTTCAATGGCTTCTTTTCAAAGCCATTTTCATTTGCCTGGGACCTGACTCAAGGCAGCCATAGCAAGCAGAGAGCCCAATACCTGCGTAAGGGACTCAGTCCACCCAGGAACACATCGTTATCACTGTACTTGCTGTGAAGCCCAGTCAAACTGCCCGTAATTTCACAGAAACGGACTTTCCGTTTCATTGTCCACTAGTACTTTGTCCAAGTCTGACAGCGTAGTCTCTGTAAATCCATGCAAATGCCAAAAGAATTTTATATAAGACTAAAAACACCTATTTTCCTCTTTTATCAAAAGTTTGAAAGATACCGAAGCAAAATAATTCAGGCTACGTTCAGTACGGCAGGCAGCAAGCCTCCCCAGGCAGAGATCACGGATGAGGAGGTGCTGGAGGCAATGCAGGTACGTGGCTCTTTCAAACTCCGCTTCCAGCAGCCCGCAAAGAACTGATAAGGTAAGAGAACACTTTGCAGTACTGCTCTCCACCTAATGCTTTCCCACCTCTTTACACACTTCTAATTTTCAGAAAATCATTAACGATCGGATGGAGTTCCATCAGCTGCTGAAACAGAAAGGCGTCAAGGTCCCATCGCTCTACAGCATTGACACATCTTCTTCATCGCCTTCCAGTGCTAAGGGAAGGAGAAAGAGTCCCGCAAGTTAGCGTCTTTTAACGCCTGAAAAGCAGCCCTACCAGCTGAGTCAGAATACGTCACCAACTTCAGGCTCCTGTTCCTTGGTTTCGAGATGGTGACTTACTAACAAATTAAACTCATTTCACTGAAATCAAGTTCTGCAGGAATCACCTGTAGAAACATTCGACTTCACAGGGTGGCCTGAAGCACTACTAAGGACTGCTTGGCTACCGTAGCTAGAAAGCGTTAAGTTACCATTTTTGCAGTATACAATAGCTGCTTTGGCAAGTTTGTGTGGTTACATGACTGAAAAATTCACCAAGGCCAAAACAAGCAACAGTGACTGCAAGAACCGTTTTATTTTTCCACTCAATATGCAAGTCCCAATACGTGGACGTATTTGATGTGGTATCTAGAAGTTCAGTTAGAGCATTGTATCATTTCTTAACAGAAAAAAGGTCAACCTGTAGGTCACCCTAGCTTATGGAGAGGTTTGCATTCATACAGGTAGTAGGCAGAATGTAAAAGTCACCCTCATACAGATAAAGGATGAGGATGTAAAAGTCACCCACAGACTGTGAACACAAACCACCTGTATTTTGGAAGGTGTCCCCAACACTCTTCAAGGGGGAGTGTGACAGAAGGCTCCAGGAGAGTCACTCTGGGCAAGAGCACTTGTGTCCTGGGGAGATGGGGAGCTTCAGCAGTGTCCATGTAAGGCAGCATTAGCCCTCTGAGCAGAACTGAACTTCAGGAGCAAGAAAAAACCCAGTGCTCGATCAACAGTAACCCAACAAATACACAACAAGGTCATTACAACTGGTATTTCCACAAGGATGGGCGATGGCTCTAAAATGCACTGGGACACAAAAACCCCTGAAGTCACTTCAACTGACTTGACTTAAAAATGAAAGCTGTGTTCATGTCTGAACACAGAAACCATCACTTTAAAACTCATTCCTCAAGTTCTGACAGCAAGTACATTTTCATGATTACTCCAGGTATAAAAATAAAGTTATGCAGAATGAGATGTTAGCGAAGTAGTTTTGCATTCTCTCTTCACTATTGGTACATAGCACGTGACTTCATTTCAGTGCTGTCACCTGCTGGATTTCTCAGTTTAGCTGCCAAAATAATCATCCAGCTGAAACATCCTGGGAAGAAATAGTGATCCAGCAGACAAATGTGACTGCGCTCATTTTATACAGACGCTAAGATGACATAATGGTGCTTTCTACAAGTTAATGCGTTCTGACTTCCAATACCTCCTCTGCCTTTCAGTTCACATTTGAAGATGCCGCTTTCTCTGCCTAGTCAGAATACTGATGACTTTCTATGAAGGCTGAAAGAATGCAATACTCCTTCCTGTAGCTTAATCAAACTTTAAAGTTTTCACATACCCAGGCAGGATGCACCGCTGCTTTTCTTTAACAAAACCAAACCACTGCGCACAAGTTGCATTGTTGAATATGGAAAAAAAAAAATTTGAACCACTTTCTTAGCTTTGATAGCTGCTAACGTATTACAGTCAGAAGAGAAGAAACTGTGGTTAGGTCAGTTTTTGAAGGATAAAGTACTCTCAAGTTTCCATCTGTGTCCACCACTCGAACCTGCTCAACTACCAATGGAAAATTCATTGGCTGTACATTTTGGCTGGGGTTCAAATTCACCGGTTCACACAGAGCATCAGGTTCGTTATCTGAGCCTGAGTCTTCCTTATTTTCCAAGGTGTATCTGTTCAGTTCTGCAATTTTCTGTTAAATGCAAAATACAGAAAACAAGATTACTTGGTTACAAGATTATGTTCTTCAGTGAGTTAGAATCGTTCAGGGAACTGAAAGGGCTTTTGATGTTATCACTGCTGTGCTCACCAGGAAGTCCCGCTCCTCTGACCAGTTTAATTTTTTGTGTTTAAAGACAAAACTTGGGCTTTGTCAAAGCACTGGATTCTAAACAACAAGAGCCTGCTGTAGGATTGCCACTGATGAGTTTGCTTTTGGTGCATTTGAAATTGTCTCTGTTACTACCTTGCGTCAACTACACAAGTCAGTTGACCTTTAGAACCCATTGGTGAAGGCTATGTCAACCACACAAGAAAAAATACATTTACCTTGCAAAATATTTAACAGCGCACTACCCTGTACTCGCCATATACCGAGCTTCCCCCTTTCAGTCAGAAAGCATGCTGAACGGCATTTAATGAGACCGTCCTGCTGCTCATACGGTATCTGAAAGACAATCCTAGAATAATGATAGGACCAAGCAAGCTAACTGTGTCAGGCAGGCTGAGATGAGAAATTTCACTAAAAGAATTTGTTGGCAGCAACTGAAGCCTTAAGAGCACTAACAAGAGTAATGTGTTCAAAGTCAAACCGTAAATTTCCATTTGTGGTAACACAACGTTACGTTATTTACCCTGGGGAGTTTTGAGGTCTGCCAGCTAGTTGGGGTACAGGAACAGAAAAACCTTTTGCGATACAGCAAGAATGGAAGAGTAAGGGAAGGAGAGGGAATACTACTACTACTAAAATAAAAATCAACTTCTGTATTCTTCTCCATACATGTGAGCAATTAAACATTTTGTTAAGAAGCACACCCAGAACAGACAGGATTATTTTGCTGATCTGCCTACCAGAATCAGTGTGTCCATGACATCTTTGCATATCTGTAGACTGGTATCGCTTGTCACTTCCAGAAACAGGTCGCGGGTCTCTTTTCTAATCTGTAAGAATTTCACAGTTAAAGCAAGTAAGGAATCAGAGCCGACTCACCCACAACCACTTGGCAACATTTCAATACCCAACCTGAATGAAAGGCTTTCATTCAATTCAACCGCAGGCAAAGTACTGCCTTTCTTTGCAAGTCAAAAACCATATTCTTCCCCTTCAATAAAGCCATCTCTGCAAAGGCAGACCGGTGCCTTTGGAACAGCTTGCCAGAGCTTTACAGATTTACAAAGGTAAAAATGTAACTCCGAGATCCATCTCAATCTGACAGTCTAGCAGAGAAGATTCAGGCTTTGAAGATTTGTAGTTGGAATGCAATCACAAGTTTCACAGAACTGCATGTATCTTTGAATCTGGAGTTAAATATCTCAGCAGAAAGAAATGCCATTTAATTCGGATTTAACGTATTTCCACCAACAGAGAGTACCTTTGTTTTCTCACTGTTGGTTATTGGTGGGAAAGAAATCGCAACGCCTTCGGCATCCACAAGACACGGGTACTTATCTTTGCCATCCAATAACTGGAGATACCTGCCAAGAAAAACAAAGCAGCAAGAAGTGAGAAACTGAAACAGCAGCTGCACAGAATTGCAGAAAATGGCAACAAAAATGAGTTAGTCCCTTCCTACCTACCACGTAGCAGAAAGAGAAGCCTGAGCACTAGAACTCAGCAAAGCAGTATCACGGTGATACAGCCAAACAAGAGGAAACTTGTTGGCTGGAACCATGAAGTAACTCACACTTTAACATCCCCGCTGTCAAAGTAGACAGATGTGCTGCTAGTGCTTTCAGAGATCCCAGCACTCAACCAGGAATATCAGAGTTCACTGTCCGATTCCTCCAGACAAGCTTACTTAATTCTCCCTCTTACTTCCTATGGCGATATACAGTTCTCCCGTCGTGTACCTGACAGATTTCCCCAAGCCGTACGAGTGAGGCATATGGGTGGTGATCGCTGTAGTAAACGGGACAGGGCAGTGCCACACTCCGCTTTATAGTTCATCTGCTCCTACACACAGATTTACCGCACCTCTCATTTGCTTAGTCTATTGAAAGTGCACGACATAGGCTTCATTCCTCCTTGTTTCCTTTCTATTTGCTATTCTAAATATAAATTATTCTTAGAGGTGACAAAAAATAGAACAAGAATTTACTCTTGATGCAGCTAGAAATAGCAGAAGGCACTCGTCATCCTCGCTTCTCTCCATGTTACTCTTTATGTATAAATTCTGCTCAGTGTTTTTCATCTCGACTCCTAAAAGCTCGTGCTGGGTTTGTTAGCCCCATCACCATTACAGAACATGCCTCTACATGGTATGTAACGCTACATTTGAGCACATTTTCTTCAGTGCTGTTTTTCCAGACGAGTCACCAAATTTCACCTGAAGAAAAAACAGCAAGAGATCAATGTACTGACTTGTGCAACCCAGAGACATTCTGACGCTTCTTCTGTTTCCTCTGTTCCTCAGCTTCTAACTGCAGCTGACGGAGAAGATCCTTTGCCTTGATCTCCTTTCGACCCAGGGGCGTTATCTACGCCATACAAGAACAGAAACATTTGAATTTAAGAGCGACTCAGACACTGGGGTCATTAAAACTCTCCTGTAAGCAAGTCAATAATTAAAATCTTATACTTCAGTCTGCTGTCATCCCTAACACATTATTCAGTATGGAAATATACTTCCAATTTCACATCGACTACTACGATCATGCTGAGGTTAAACCTTCGCGTGAGCTGCAACACCCACTTGAAAAACAGGCTCATTCACAGGCACTAAGCCAGGCCTGGACAGTTTTCTGAGCCATTCCCTTCACTGTCATACCTTAGTGAATAATGCAAAAGCCTGCCATCTCGAAACAGAAGCCAGGAACAGAAGGCTCTGTAAGCCATCAGGAAAACGAAGAATTCGTTCCTGAGGATCAGGCCACGTGCACAGAACGGTTACAATCACAAGGTGTCAAGAGCAGAACACAAGAACTTTGGGTCAGCCCCAAAGAGTCAGAGTATCCAGACTGCTTGGTCCTTCAGTGAGATCAGTTCTGGAGGTGGGATATTAACGGGCATGCTGAAATTGGCCTACGTAAGTAAGGATGATGAATTTGAAATACAATTTTATATTCTGGATTGAAGTACAGTCTAAGAGCTTCTCATACAGATGTACTGCAAGCTTTTTTTTTTGCCTTTTTTTTTTTTTTTTTCATTCTCTTATTTGAAGGCAGCAACACAAACAACCCAAGATTGAGTAAACCTACAGAACCGGCAGGGATTTTAACTAGGCTACCTTGAAGGCCACTGCCAATCTGGATGCTCTCATACAAATGAGCATCCGCTTTGCTGTATGACACTCCAGGCACATTCTAACATATATGGACCTCCAGGGAACATTAAGGTGGTAACACCACAACACAGCAGAAAGGATCAACACCGAAACACTGACATCTCAGCCCAGCTAAGCAGAGACATGCATTAAGCAATATCAGAATGTTTGTAGAGGGGAAAAAAAACAACCTTATATCTTCTTTCCCTGATTTAAGTCCCAGTACAGATGCACTCTTAACTGGTCATGGAGTAACACTAGGTAGCTCTGCGAGGCTTGTTGAAGCAGGTTTTGTTACAGCAGGACAGCAAGAATGTTAGTACAGCTTCTAAATTAAAGTTCCTGGGGTTAGTTTTTCTAGGAGCAGTTTTTCACAGGCTAAGAAAAATTTCTTTCCGTCCTATGCAGTTCCAGAAAACAGAAGGGAAAAAAGCGGAAAGGCCCACCGATGCCACTAGCCCTACCTTCAGCTCATCAGGAGGCTGAACGTCGTATACCAGAGGACCTTTGATCAGCTGCAAGTCGTGGGTGGCAATTGTGGCTGCTGTCCGCTTTTCACAAATGTCTTCATGCAGTTTAGTCTAAAACATAAAGAATGCCATCAGACTATACCAAAACCATCAGCATGATTTATTACTCCTAGGGTTCAAATTCTTCCGTATTTAATGTTTGTAGCATGATCAGTTAGTTGAGTAACCCTTTTGCATAAAACGGAGCCCTTCTCTTCACCCATGGAATAACTATCTGACTTACAACCCAAACGTAAAGACAGCGAAGCATAGCACATGATGCGTTTCTCAAGTGAGAGACAAACAGTTTTAAGTCAGAAAACAATCACAAAGATGATAGAAGCTTCTGAAAGAAGCTAACACCTGCCACCTCACAGACCAGCGAGCAGCATGCCAGGCGAAAGCCTGCGGTTACGATACCTCGGTTGGAAGGCTAGGCGCGCAAGATGGTTTTAGCACAGATTAGGAAACCTGGAGCCAAAGTAGGGTACTTCTAACGCGGACGCGGGTTTATTATTAGTTCTCAACAGGCTCCACAGCACCAACGAGCTGCTGCTATGGATGCAACGCAAACACGCGTGCGTTCGTCGCCCTCTCATGGCAATATCCGAGCTCCTATTGGGTTCCTCAGGAAAACCAGTTTTACTTATTATGGACTGACCCGGCGGCCCGCGGCTGGCAGAGCCCACTCTACACTGCCTCCCTGCCGCACCCTCACCACCAGCTAGGTGAAGAGCTCACCCTGCATTGCAGAAATTTATCTGCAGGAAGGAGGCTGGAACAGTCTGCTTCCACCTCTGCTAGCAACGTTCCCCTTGCAAACACCTAATGCAAGACGGCAGCAGTTACCTGCACAGACAGGAACCTCTTCAGGGCATTTCCCGGCTTTAAGTTCACTCCCTTCAGCACGCAGCACACAATGAAGGGTCGAACATCTTTGACGCCCGGGCTGGCTTTGACCGCCAAGGGCGCCGGGTTTTCGGAGACGTGCAGGACCTTCAGCAGCAGCTTGCTCGCCTCCTCCAGCTGGTCCTGCTCCCCGTCCCCGCCATCCTTCTTTTGCTGCTTCTCCCTCTTCTTCTTCCTGGCCTCCTCTC